AACGGTTGCCACTCTTGGAATGACTAAGACCGGTCTTCATTCGCGACTTGGTCGAGGCTTTGTGTTTGACTTGGTCAGGGCTTTAAATCCTAGTGATGGGTCTCAAGTCACACTCTACTAGACATTTGATCATAATTACGTGATAGTTTGACATTCATCCGACAAAAAGAAATGATTTAATTAAATATAAATAATATGAAAATTAAAGAGTACTTACCTTTTGATAGGCTGAAATATTGGATATATTGCTGAATTTACGGCCCATTACTGTTGGTGAGAATTCAAGTTTGGGCTTGAAGTAGACTTGGCCCACATCATTTGACCGAAATCGGATAAATCATCGCCTCGTACTCAGAACCATTGTGAGCACTCAAGAGAGCCCATCAAGGTTAGCCCCCCGGAACACTTAAATCCATCTTTGTGAGCTCTCTTTTAAATCCATCATTTGAGTGGCATGAGTGGCCCCCAGAAAACCCACGGTATCATCCATTCCACAGAAGATCAAGTTTGAGTGGTTGTGAGATAAATCAACGTATGGAGCCCATCTGATGCGGACGAAGGGAAATTGAAGGAAGAGGCATCGACCATGGTTGATCTTCGGCACTCCATCGCTGATGCATCCTGGCTGAAGAGCGAAGGTCTCCTGGCTGGTCTGCGGATCCACAGTCACACAGGCATCTTTGGCCGCCCTCGTCATCCCTGGTTATCGCGATAAGAGAGGTTTAGATCACCGACTTCAACAAGCTCGGCTTGGGGAATACAGGCATGGCAAACTAGGCGGAGGATAAAAAGAGTTTGGAGCTCCGCGAGAAAGTTGTGTGTCTGCGACCGTCGAGCTGCAACAGCCCTGGCATGATGGTGGGATCTGGAGCTGTGGCCACGAGATCCGGAGCCGTGGCTGTGAGATCTGGATAGCAGCCTGGCAGCAACTTCGCGGCGGCGAGATCCGGGAATGGGCAGTGAGCAGCGGCAGACCGTCTTCAACCGACTCAACGGCCTGGGTAGCGGCGACCTAAGGTGACGACAGAAAAAACGGTGCGCAGTGATGCGAGCGGCGACGGAAAATACAGCAAATGCTCCCATTTGAGATCGGAAGTGCATCCCCTGGCCATCCTTCGAACAGATTCGGCAATGGTGTGGACGTGTGAGGTCTGGAGCGACAACACTCAGAACATCGTGGTGAACTCGAACTGGCGCAGCGAGCTTCAGGCGTATGGCGGTGGCAGAAGACGGTGGCTCGGATCAGGGAAAGTCCAGATCTTCTTCTTTTCCATTTTTTCTTGAATTTTCACAACAGCTTCCTTGCTGGATTTCTTGTGATTTGGGAGTTTTTTTTTTGGGTTGTTTTTGGGAGGTTTTCTCACTTGATGTGTTCAAACCTCTCAACGAGAGCACCATTGTTGGATAATTGATACCCATATCCTATCAACGAGTCCTGTTTACAAGCTCCAAAAAGGAGTATACATATAAAGAAATCCGGGTCTGAGCCTCTAATATGGGCCTGACAGACCCGGTTACATAAAAGGACTGATAACATAAAAGGCTAATCTAGTACATACAATAAATGTGTAAACTGTACAATAATATAAATGACATCTGCTAGGTGTACGTGAACCATTGTCCAGGCCCAATAATAAGCAAACCGGGGGGTCAGAGTCCATATACTCCATCAGTGACATTCTTTTCATAGAAAGTTATGCAATCCAACACACACAAGCACTAGCTCAGCTTGAGTGCGGAAAGGAACCCGAGGGGCTGTTTTGAAAATGGCGAACCTTAACTTGAATATCTCAAATATCCTTTCAACTACGTTCCTTGGCGAAGATTAAAAAGTTCCTTTGAATTATTTGGATCACCACCTTGACCAGCAAAAATATTGTAGATGATAGCGGGTACCTCGAAAAGGGGCTGAGAATTGACGACGTCTATTTGGATATCCGCAATCTGTCAAATAAAAATATCCTACATAATATGGATAAAATTATAATTATAAAATCTTTTATAGAAATACTTACGGTAGTTGTAAGAATAATAATAGCAAACAGTAATTGTAATAATAATAAAAACACTAAATAAGTGATAGTAGTATATAACGACATTGATTACTACTAATAAAGACAATATATTATCTCATGCATCTTTTCCCTTGTCAATGCATAGGTCGAAACTTTTGAATCATGTGTTGATCCCTCCCAACCACTCAACACATATATAAATTGCATATGAAAGTGATAGAGTATACCTCTTAGATTCTAGAGAGAAGTGAGAGCTAGAGAGAGAAGTGCAATATTTGCTTCAATAGAATGATTTTGTAACCCCTATAACTACTCCCAAGGGGAGTATTTATAGAGAAAATTAGGGTTGGGCTCCCAAGCCTTGGGCTTGGGAGGCCCATTTACAACTGGACCGCTACTGGGCCGAATACAAAGCCTCTAATGGGCTGTACAAATGAATAAGTATAGAATCCGTTTCTGGGAGGTCTTCGTGGCCGACGAGGGCGTGGCCGACGAGGGCGTGGCCGACGAGGGCGTGGCTGACGAGGGCACGACCGACGAGGGCACGGCCGACGAGGGCACCCGGGTTCCTTGGGCTCAGGACCATGATCCGAGTTGGCTTCTTCTCGGCCGACGTGGGCGTCTTGGCCGACGAGGGCGCCACTCTATTGTCTTGTGCTTTCTGTTCTTCCGAGTATGTGGGTCCTGGGGCTCAGACCCATATACTCCATCAGGAGTCCCCCACTCTCTAAGCTGAGATGTAGACGAAGTGAAGGAGAGTAGATTTCTGTGCTTTGTTGCTTTTGGCCGATGCGGGCATTCCCAGGCCGTTAGCCGTTGCGGCGTTGGCGTTGTTTCCTCTTTGGTGATCCTGTTCCTCGCTGTGGGCGGGGAGGCCGTTGTTTCCTTAATTGGTTTTGGGACGATGAGCGTCCTTTTTTCAACGATGGCCGTTGAAGGCGCGCTTTCCCTTTCCTGGCCGTTGGTGGTTGAAGTTTATGTTTGGGCCGGTGAGGTTGTTCCTTGCTTTGAGGATGATGGCGTCCTTTCCTTTGGGTGGCCGATGAGGGTGCTCGCGCACTCCTTTTGGCCGTTGCTGGTTGGCCTTCGTGTTCTTGGCCGAAGGGCCCGTCAAGATTAATTGTTGGCGGAGGACGATGAGTGTCCTTGCCTCTAGTGGCTTGTTGGCCGTTGCTAGTGACGTTATGGGCCTTTGGCCGATGAAGTTCCGTTGTGCTGTATGGATGATGTGGCCATGCTTTGTGGTTACCTTATTCGCACTCTTTTGTTTTGTTGAGGCCGGTGTAGTCCCCCAGTCCCCCACTGCTTCAGGCCGAAGAGTGTGAGGGGTGAAGGAGTTGCTTGAGTCCCTGGCTGAAGCGGTCTCGCCGTAGTCCCCCTGAATCCAACTCTCATGGCGATTTTCTGGCCAAGGTAACCCTGTGGGAGAACCCTTGTGCGCAGATCGCTTGTAGAGAGTTATCATCAAGGGTTATTACGAGGAGCCGAAGGCTGTGGGCTATTTGTCCCCTTTGTTCTGTGGCCGTTACGTTCCTGGCCGTTGCCGTCCACTTATTGTCTGGCATTTGTGATATTGGCAAGCAGATGGGACGTTGTGGGCGCTTGCTAGCAGTTGTAAAGCCGTTGAGCGTGTGTAGGCCGTAGAGTCTGATTTGCCAGTGGGCCGTTGATATGGGTTGGTCCTGGCCCGTTGGTGACGTGGTGGCCCCCCAGTGGTGGCCGTTGATGTGGCCATTGGGAGAGTGCCACGTGTAGTGACCGTTGGTGGGGGGGGGGGTCTATAAATACCCCTTCCCCTCCGACGAAAAATCACGTTTGCATTCTGAATTTGTCGAAGTGCTGGCCGATTTTCTAGAGAGAGAAACTCCCGAGCCTGTTCTTCGTGTTCTTCATTGTTTGAGGTTAGTGTTCATCACGATCTTCCTCACTTTTCATACTTTGCTCCGTAAATAGTTGATCTAGTGTTAGGCATTTAAACACCTTTAGATCGTAAGTTCTCCTTAAGCCCGTAGTAGTAGTAATGAAGAGCTTGAACGAGGACTACTACCCCTACGACGACCAGCCCTCCACGAGGTCCCTTGACTACGAGGTGCTCGAGGAGTTTGAAGAGGAGATAGAGCGTTTGAGCCCCTACAAATCCGGAGAGCTGATGGACGAGGAGATCGAGGACGAGGAGTCCGCCTCCTCTTCAGAGGGTGAGGACGTAGGTGCGTCCCGAGCGGTGGACGGGGCGTCCACTTCTGCTGCCGTTCCGTGCCCGAGGCCGGTATCTGCCGTGAAGGGCGACGCTAAGCCGAAGAGGGTGAGGAGGCCGAAGAATGGGCCGGGCCTCTCCTATTTGGACCTCACCAACATATTCCTGATTAAGCCGGAGAGCAGTGAGGCCGACTATCTTGTCGCCCAGATGTACGTGGGGCCGTTCGGGCGGGTTAGGGCACCCAGGCCGACGGACCATGTTCTACTTCCGCCACCGGGATACTTCGGAGTATACCCGATGAGTTTTGCTAAGGGGTTGAGGTTCCCCCTTCACCCTTTCGTCACCGAGTATCTGGACATGGTGGGGCTTCCTCCGGCCTTGCTGACGCCGAACAGTTATTCCTTGATAGTGGGCTTCTTGCTTCGGTGTGAGGAGTTGGGCTACAGGCCGACCACGGCCTTATTCATGAACTTGTACCAAATCGGCCGAGGAAGCCACAAGAACTGTGCGGCCTATGCTACTCTTCAACAGCTGCCGAGGAAGAGGAGCTTCACGGATTTGCCTACGTCCATTCATGGGTGGAAGAGCAAGTTCGTGTTTGTGTCCATTGGTGAGAGTGGCACCGAGTTCCCCTCCCTCGGCCATACCGGGAGGTTCAATCTTCATGACCCGCCGAAGAGCTCTATTTTGGACGCTCAGGTGGAGGCTTTCCTGGAAGGGGGGCCGAGGAGCGTGAAAGATTACGTCACTGAATACAAGATGACGGCCCTCGGCTTCTTCAGATATCACTTGTATGGAGATAAGGAGGATGACCTCCAGCTCTGGCCGAGGATGACCACCACCTTTGAGGAGGCCGATGGCCCGGATTTGGGCATTCCTGCTGAGGCCGATGGTAATTTTCCTTCGGCTTTCTGTCTTTACGTTTTTGTCCTTTGCCTTGCTAATCTGTTTGTTTTCCCTTTGTAGACTTTGTCATGGACCGCCGTTCCATGATGGCCATTGCGAAGGCCAAAGCGGCCGAGGAGATTGCTGCTAAGGCGGCCGAAGCGGCCAGGCGTGCCGCGGCCGGTGTGAGCGGGGCTACTGCAGATGCGGCCCCAAAGCCTGCCCCATCCAAGAAAAAGAGACCGGCCACTGATGGCCAGAAAAAGTTGACCGAGGCCGGCGTGAGCGTCTCTAAGAAGACGAAGAGGGCTCCTTCCCCTTCTCCGGCTAGTGAGGCCGGCACGCTTACTGTCCCCAGCGTGGGCGATGGTGGTCCCGTCGTGGACCTTACTGTTGCTGATGATGCTGCCCCAGCGCTTCCTCTCGTCCAGGAACCACGGACGCAGAGGGCCGGCAAGGAGATTGTTGGTGCCACCTATCAGAAAGTGATAGAGTACCCCGTCGGCGGGGGCGTGTTTAATGAGCTCGTCCCCGGCCACGTCGTCCTGGCCAAGGCCATGCCGGCCAAAGATCGGGCTCATCTGAAGAAGCTCGAGGACCCGAAGATTTATGAGGGCGGCATGGATCTCCTCGTCCAAGTAAGTGATTGTCTTTATATCCTTGTCTCTCTTCGTCTATGTAGAGTTTTTGCCTGACCTTTGTTTTTCTTATGCAGAGTGCCTTCATGCTTATGGAAAGCCATAAGAGGCAGTACTGGGAGATAGTCCGCCTGCAAGCACTGGAGCAGAAGGCTGCCTCGGCCGACGAGGCGGTAGCTTGCCTTGACCGGCTTCGGGAGGATGCCAAGGCGCTGCAGGCCAAAGCTGATGAGGCCGTCGCGGCCAGGGACGTTGCCCTGGTCCAGCTCGAAGAGAGCAAAAGGGAGCTCGCAGAGTCCCGTAGAGCGCTTGAGGCCGAGAAGCGCAGGAGCGAGGAGGCCGCCAAGGCGAAAGCTGAGGCCGAGGCCGCCGTCGTGAGGGCTGCTGATGAGGCTGTTGAGAAGTTCTTGGCCGAAGGGTGGAAGGCCGATGAGAGGCTCCCCTGGTGCTACGAGGTGGTGGCCGCCAGGCTGGAGAATTGGGGGATGAACTCCCCTGCCGGCCGGGAGTATTTCAGCCAGGAGATGTCTGTTTACTACAACCTGGGCCAGGAGCGGATGCAAAGGCTCCTGTACCGGCGGCTATCCCGGGCGTTGAAGGCCATGAATTACACGGCTGGATGGGCTAGACGGAACCTGAAGCTCCCAAAGCTGATGAAGGATCCCGAAGGGCAGGCCACGCTTCCGCTGTCGGAGCGGGAGTCCCCCATAGAAAGCTCCGGCCTCGGCGAGCCGGACTATACCGAGTTCGATTTCTTGGATGATGCCACCAGCGCCGCTGCCGGCCAGGAAGCTGAGGCCGATGAGGAGGGGGCCGACGAGGTTGAAGAGCCAGCCCCGGAGGCTTGATCGGCTAGTCCCCATTGTAGTTAGCTTTTCATTTGTTGCCCAATTATGTAATGGCCGTAGTGCCCCCCAATTGTAATGAAATTTATCAATTGAAGAAATTTTTGCTGTCCTTTTCGGCCTTGAATCCCTTGTATGTTTGTTTGCTTTGTCATTTTAATTCTGTAAATTGTCTAAGTAACAAGTCATAACTTGGGTCACCTGCGAGTGTCCGCTACGTCCATGAGGTTGGCCTTCCCGTCCAGTAATCTGGTCGGCCTATGCCTCTTTGCTTTACTGTCATAACACTTAGGATTTTGCTTCAAAAATTCCCCAAGTGTTTTTTGGGTCCATGTAGCTCCTGTCTTTACGGCCTAGTGGCCTGATTGGCTTGGACGTAGTTTCATAACACTTAGGAATTTTTCAAAATTTTTCTAAGTGTTTTGGGATCCACTTAGGTGCTTCCCTTTCGGCCTGGTGGCCTGGTCGGCTTGACCGGTGTTCCTTTGCCATCATAACACTTAGGATTTTTTCACAAAATTTCCTAAGTGTTTTTGATTCCTTTTAAGTGCTTCCCTTTTTAGCCCTGACCGCAGTGTCCGTTCCGTCCAGGCGTTGGCGTCCTTATCGTCCTGGCCTTGGATTCATCCCAGGTGTTTTAGCCAGGGCCGTTGTCGGCTTGTAACCCTGTGTTCTGGCCGATAAGGGCACCTTCACCATAGTCTTGTGGACTGAATTTTTCACAAATACACATGTAGAGGTGTAGGTGGTTAACGGCTTTGTTGTATACTGGTACCCGCTTCGGCTAGAATTCCTTCATTTGAGTACTTAGATAATTTCCTGAGTATAAATGTCAGGTATTTACGTCTTTGCGGTGCCCTTGTCGGCCAAGGTCTGGCTTGTGGCCGATGAGGGTGCTAGGTAAGGAGTAGCTTGTCCAAGGAGATGGTCCTGCCTTCGTCGGCTAGTCATGGTTCCAGTGCCTGCGTCGGCTATCCGAGGTGCGGTGGCAAGTAGAGGTTGCATCTTGATTATTTGATCCTTTCGCGGGTGTGATAAGTGCCCGCTTCGTCCCGGTCATCCTCCGGTTTGAGATGTTTTGTTTCATACCAAGCGTTGGTGCCTCAAAGGACTATGGCCGATGAAGGTCACCTCTCGCGTGTCACCCAACCGATGTGGTTAGGGTTTCATAGGCGCGTGTTTCGGCCTTGATTGTTCCATTGTAGTGTGTGGACGTGTCGTCCTTGTTACCTGTCAGTGGTACTACACTTGTGTTCGACTAATATGTACTTGGCCTAGTTGGGCCTGAGTTTGTGGGGATTTTTTTTTTTTGCTCGAGGCCGGCAAGTGTGCGCGGCCGTCGGCTTCCCTCTTTTCCCTCATATGTATTTTTTTTTTCGTTTCGGGGGGTATCCTTCTTTCAGGCTTCGGCCGAAGGGTGTGCTCGTCCTTCGGCCGGTTCGGACTTCGTTTATAACGTCCGTGGTCTCAGGGCGGGTCCCGTCGCCTATTTATGACGCGGGCTAGACTTTTGGTCGGTTTCCAACGGCTGTCGTTGCCCATCCCTGAGTTTTGGGATTTTGTCACCTCGGCCATGATTTCAGGCCTGTCGTCCTGCGATCTGGCGCGTGGACGACGCGGTGAGCTTCCCGTTTCAAGACGTGGGCCGTTTGCGGGCCCCTCGTCCTGGGGACATCGTCGGCCATACCTGAGCGTTTCACTTCTAAGTTTACGGGGCCAGGACGATGTGCTCTCTCAGCTAGGCCTGAGCCCTTCGCTGATACAAAATACAATGGAGTGCCTGAGCTTGTCGCTCGTAGGCTGCAAATGCAAGGGGCCATGTCGGCCAGACCTGAGCCTTTCGCTCTAAGGTGGCCGACGAGGGCACCTGCTAATGTTTTACTTTAATTTCCAGAGAAAAAATCAGAACATGATTTTATTCATAAGTGGCTCGAGGCCGAGGGTGGCGTTCAATCAGTAACCCGTTAAGGGGTGAGGGCTTCGCCGTGTGCACCTCCTACGGATTACTGATAAAACTTCACCAGATGGTGTACATTCCATGTTCGTGGTACATTGGACCCATTCGGGCGTCTAAGCTTGTAGGTGCCGGGTTTGACCACGGCACTGACGATGTAGGGCCCTTCGTACTTCAATGCTAGCTTGCCGCCCTCTGTTGGCTGGCTTGCTTCCCTTCGGCGGAGGACGTAGTCCCCCACCTGAAATTCCCGGGAACGTACCTTGGCGTCATAGTATGATTTCACTTGACGCCGGTAGTTCTCTGCTCGGACGTAAGCTTGCTCACGCCTCTCATCAACCAGGTGTAGGTCAATCTTCATGTTCTCTTCGTTGGTGTCAGGCTCATATTGCTCCACTCGCCGGCTGGGGATGGCTACCTCCGTGGGCGCCTTCGCCTCAAAGCCGTAGCACAGGGCGAAAGGTGTTTCGCCTGTCGCCCTCCTCGGCGTGGTTCTGTAGCACCACAGGATGTTGGGGAGCTCGTCGACCCAACTACCTCCTGCGGCCTGGAGGTTCTTCTTCAGCCCCTCCATTATTGTTCTGTTGGCGTTCTCGACCTGCCCGTTGCCCTGAGGATAGGCAACGGAGGAGAAACGGTGCCTCACCCCAAACTCCCGGAGGAGCTCCTGAAAAGGGGCTGCCTCGAATTGGGTGCCGTTGTCTGATATAATCTCCTGGGGGACGCCAAAGCGTGTAATGATGTTCTTGTAAACAAACCTTTGGCATCTGGCCCCCGTGATGCTGGCCAAGGGTTCCGCCTCGACCCACTTGGTGAAGTAGTCGACGGCGACGATGATGTAGCGGTTATTCCCGGCGGCTCTGGGCAGGGGGCCGACCAGGTCAATCCCCCATCTGGAGAATGGAATTGCGGTGCTGACAGGGGCATAGTTGACAGCTGGCCGACCAGGAGCTTTCTGGAGTACCTGGCATGTGGTGCACTTCCTGGCCAGGTCAGCGCAGTCTCATGCCATCGTCGGCCAGAAGAAGCCCTGGACGACGAGACGCCGGGACATGCTGAAAGGACCCTGGTGTGAGGAGCAGACGCCACAATGAACTTCTTCCATGGCAGTATCGGCCTCGTCCTGGTGCAGGCATCGGAGGAGAGTGCCATTGTAGGACCGTTTGTAGAGTTTGCCATCTTCGATGGTGTAGCTTGGGGCCCTGAGTTTGGCGAGTTTGGCCCTCTCCTCGTCCGAGGGCAACTCCCCCGTTGTGATGAAGGTGGTGATGTCGGAGATCCAGTCCTCTGGTCGCTGGTGGACGCACAAGACGGGGCTGGCATGGATACTGGACATGCTCAACTCCTCGATCTTGGCCAACTGGGAGATGTGCTCCGGGGTGTCCGAGCTGAGCTTGGAGAGGATGTCGGCTTCGGCGTTCTCGGCCCTTGGGATCTGAGTGATCTCATGGGTTTCAAACGCTTTCAGCAATTCCTCCGTCGCTTGTTTGTACTGCTTCATCCGGCCTTCCTTTGCTTCGTACGATCCCTCCACCTGGCCCACTACCAGTTTGGAATCGCACTTGATTCTGAGGTGCTTGGCCTTGAGGCCGGTGACGAGTCTGAGACCGCTGAGGAGGGCCTCATACTCGGCTTCGTTGTTGGATACCCTGAAGTTGAAGCGGATGGCATAGTAGGCTCTGAATCCTTCAGGGGATATGAGGACGCCGCCGCCGCCGCATGATTTCGCGGCCGACGAGCCGTCAGTGAACAGGGTCCACGTGTCGTCTGGCTCCGACCCGGGGTTGGCGACGGCCGTCTCCCTTGCTGTGCATTCGATGACGAAGTCGGCCAAGGCTTGCCCTTTGATAGATGGCCTTGGCTTGATCTCAATTTGAAACTGGGTGAGGAAGATCGCCCATTTCACCATCCTCGAGGAGCTAGTGGGGCTCCTCATGAGCGCGCCGAGAGGCTGCTGGGTCAGCACATGGACGGTGTGGGCTTGGAAATAGTGCCCCAGCTTCTTCACGGTGTGGACGATGGCCAGCACCGTCTTCTCAATGGGGGAGTACCTGAGCTCGGCCTCCCTAAGTGTCTTGCTGATGTAGAAGATGGCCTTCTGCACCCCTTCGTCCTCACGGATGAGCACGGAGCTGATGGCCGACGTGCTCACCCCCAAGTACAGGAAGAGGGTTTCGCCGGCTTTGGGCTTGGAGAGTATGGGTGGGGACGACAGGTACCTTTTCAATTCGTCGAATGCTTCCTGGCACTCCGTCGTCCACCTGAAGCTGGTTGCCTTGCGCATGATCTGGAAGAAGGGGAGTGCCCTCTCAGCTGACCTGGAGAGGAACCGGTTTAAGGCCGCCAGGCGCCCCGTCAGTCGCTGTACCTCCTTGACGTTGCGGGGCGGCTCCATGTTGATGATGGCCTGCGTCTTCTCCGGGTTTATCTCGATGCCTCTCCGGCTGACCATGTAGCCAAGGAACTTGCCGCCTTGGACGCCGAAGGCGCACTTCTTGGGGTTAAGGCGGAGCCTGAATTCCTTCATGATTTCGAAGATTTCCCGGAGGTCGTCGGCGTGGGAGGTGGCCTGCCTGCTCTTGACGATCATGTCGTCGACGTATGCCTCCATCGTCCGGCCAAGGACCGCTCTGAAGATTTTGGCCACCATCCTAGTATAGGTGGCGCCGGAGTTTTTGAGTCCGAAGGCCATGACGAGGTAGCAAAATATTCCCTCTGGGGTCATGAATGCCGTCTTCTCGGCGTCATCTTCGTGCATGGAGATCTGGTGGTACCCTCTGAAAGCGTCGAGGAACGACATCAACTCGCACCCCGCCGTCTCGTCCACCAACTGATCAATGTTGGGGA